ATGTAAAAAAAAAAAAAAAAAAAAAAAGAATATCTGCAATAGGTTGAATAACTAAAATTGATTCCTCTATACATGTGTATCCTCTATACATGTATACGTGACTACTGTACATTTAGTGTATTTTTCAAAAACTCATTCATTCTCATAAAATGTGATAGGCATTTTGAGAGTTTGCTTCTTCTTTCTTCCTTTCATGCCTGAAGTCATGGTCTGCTGAGTAAGCAGGGCACATCACCAGTTACAGGTTTGTGCTAGGGTCTTGTCTCCAGAAAAGAGAGAAGAAAGACAGTTTTATCTGTGTGAACCAAATGAGTCAATAATTGCTGCTTTATAATCAGCTATTTATGAAATGTTATCTCAAGGCTTGACTTCATGCCTCAATTTGCTTTTTACAGCTGTAAGCTCTCTCTGAAAATCTTCTTTCAGTTCTAATTCATAACGGGTCCTGAGAACCAGATGTGCCGCTTACCTTCATGGTGGGTGGGGCGGTTCTGGGGGGAGAGGGAGGGCAGTCTGACAGGGGCACATTGGAGATGGTCAGCAACTCCTGCTTCCTGCAACAGAGACATAATCACCATTATTCCAAACTTTTAAAATAACATTAAAACATTAGATATACAGCTACAAATATACTGAAATACACAGACAGTAACATATTTTGCACAGTTCTCATAATGCATTAATTTACAATCTAAATCTACTAATCTTATAGGTGCACTCATTATTCTTTTCATCATTAAAAATCTTTAAATGTGAAAAAATATTTATCTATTTTGGTTTAACCTGACTGACTTTGAATTTCTTTAATGTAGCACCAGTAGCTGAAAACTACTATCATTACATGATGCTAAATATATACTTCTAAATGTCAGTATAATAGGCTAGTGAAACAGAAAAAATTATACTAAGTGCACTTCTAAAAGCTGACAATTTAATTTTGTATGGTCATCTGCAGTGTCGTCTTCACACAGAGAGGATCCTCACTGAAAGGCTTTCTATTCTCAGTCTCATTTCACTCCTCAGGAATGTACCTCTCCTATTTGACCCTCATATGATTTCAAGATCATCAATAAAAAAATGGGCCAAAGATGGGCAATCTGTTCTTTAAATGAGTTCTCAGGACAGGAGGCTGACAGGTTGAGGATCTAGAGGCTCCTACTCAAAATTAATTTTCCTTTCCACCTCCCTCTTCATAAGTGAGGTACGGACAGAGAAACAGAGAGAAAGGGGGAGCAAGGGGGTGGTTAGAGACAGAAATGAACAAGGCTCTAAAAATAACCACCCAATCCTTCATAAGCTCTCTGTAAATAGATCCCATAAATCCATCAATATATTCGTATTAGGGAGCAAGTGACACATCATTCATTATGTTTGACAAGGTATTTTACTCACATACTCAACACTCACAAAACTAGCCAAAAGAATCCAGTCTGCATGTACATATACACACAAAAACTTCTGATACTTTAGCTCATATTTGGACCAAAATGCACACAGAAATATACTGAATAAATGGCACCAAACGAAGTAAACAACCGGACTAGGAGAATAATCTTCACACCTCTGGGAGGATGTGAACAGCTTATTGTCACATTGTCTGTCATTTCAGTCAACATGAAAACACCTTTCCTGGAAAACTCAGCAAGAGTGATTGTGGGCAATTTCACATAAGATGCTTTTGAACATCAAAATAATCCGTCTAACATCAAGTTTGGCTGAGCTCTATAAGTTGACAAGTAGATCTATCTATCTAGCTATCTGTCATGTTGCTACTGTGTTGGAGCTCGGAGCTCGAGGAACGAGGAGACGAGAAGTACATCAATAAGGAGATTTTAATAACATTCAGGGAACCAGGAAAACACACGTAGCAGATGAGGTAGACATATACACAGACATTCACAATACCTGACGCTGAAGCCAAGGAAACACAGGGCTTAAGTACAGGGGAACTAATGGGACACACATGGGAACAAATGAACTGAACGAGGAACACCTGGAACAAGATGATCATAATAACAGGAACGGGAAGGACCAAATAAGGGCAAGGAAGGCACATGGGGAGCAAAACACACACAAAACAAGGAACAGAGTCTGACATTACTCCCCCCTCCCGGAAGGCACGTCCTCGCGCCTCACAATATTCAATGGGGAGGGGGGGTGGAAATTCTGGAGGACCCTCAGGACAGACACGGGACAGCAGGCCTCCAGAGTGGTACCCGTTCGGGGCGCCATGGCGGATCAGGCAGTTTGGGGCGCCATGGCGGAGCAGGCAGCTCAGGGAGCCATGGCGGAGTAGGGAACTCAGGGGGCCATGGCGGATCAGACAGTTCGGGGCGCCATGGCGGATCAGGCAGACTAGGAGGCCATGGCGGAGCAGACAGTTCAGGAGGCAATGGCGGAACAGGCAGACTAGGAGGCCATGGCGGAGCAGGCAGACTAGGAGGCCATGGCGGAGCAGATGGTTCAGGAGGCCACGGCAGAGCAGGGAACTCAAAAGGCCATGGCTGGACGGCCTCCGTGGCCTTGGCCTCGGCACGGCCACTACGGACGGACCCATACTACCCCCCCCAAAATCCTTGGGGAGAATATCGTCTTTAGAGGCCCTCCGTAGGCCTAACTCGGGAAGAGTGGCCCTCCTTGGGCTAAACTCGGGGACAGGAGCCCTCACTGGGCTAAACTCGGGGACTAGAACCCTCTTTGGGCTAAACTCGGGGACTGGAACCCTCTCTGCGCTAAACTCGGGGACAGGAGCCCTCCGTGGGCTAAACTCGGGGACTGGAGCCTTCTCTGGGCTAAACTCGGGAACAGGAGCCCTCTTTGGGCTGGATTCGGGGGCTGGAGCCCACACTGGAGCGAGCTCTGGGGCTGGAGCCGACACTGGAGCGATCTCTGGGGCTGGAGCCGACACTGGAGCGAGCTCTGGGGCTGGAGCCGACCGCCTTCTCCTCCTTCGATTCCTCTTTTGGTTCGTGGTGAGAGGCGTTGTCTGCGGACTTGAGTGAGCCGCGGCCGGCGGGCTTGACTTCGGCGCGGCCGGCGGGCTGGAGAGAGCTGCAGCCGGCGGGCCTAACTGAGGAATGGTCGGCGGAGGGGTTCCAGATCGGGATCGGAGGCTCTCAAGACACCGGATGACCGCCTCCTTCCAGTCGAGGTTGGTGGTGTCTGGGAGTTCCGTGGGCTGATGGTAAGTGATCCCGAGCCGGAACAGCGTGAAGAGGGTCTCCCCATCGAGGGAACTGGCAAGGGCGAGCGGCATGAATGCCCTCGCGTAGGTGAGCGCGTCGTGGCTCGCCTGAGCCACGGCGATGAACATCGCTC